CTAGAGGATCCTTCTGATTAAAGGAGCCAAATTTATGGAATCTTGTTTGTGTCCATGAAGCAGATTCTATGTGAGAGGTGTTATGGGAGTGTACCAACCGCAAGCTGTGTTGTTATTGAGAGGGATAATATATGATTCTATATTATGTTCTCAACGATTGTTGAGGTGGAGTCCCTAATCTGGAGTTGAAGGACTTTGAAGATATGTCAGACGTAATGTCTTAACATCTGTGTGTTGAGAATCTATTTTTATCAACATGTATGTGGTGTTTTATCTTAAACATGATAGAGGTTGTTTACTCTAACTTGATATTACCAAGTCTATGAGAGCATGGAACTCTTGATCTATTGTTGTGGAAGATAATTTCAAGGGGCCGTGTGCATTGAAGATGTATCAACCGGAGTTTTGTGGTTGATTGGTGTCTGGACTATTGAAGTTTCATCTTATTCACCTAGGATGAGCATTTAAGTTTTTTTTTCTGGAGTAAAGAGGAGGTGTTGTTTCTAGGACCAAAGGATTGTGGTTTCCTGTTGTTTTCATGAGAAGTTTCTCTTCAAGCATGGGTTCAGTTATGTGGTGTCCTCACATAATGGAACATATGTTTCTGTAAGGATTGAAGGGCATCCTTGTATCTTGAAGAATTGGGAGAAGCAGATTTGTTCTGAACAGTCTTTGTCTGTGGGTGGTATGATGCCATGTTTTTTAAGTCTTCTCCATATACATGTTAGAGGGAATCTCCTCTATAGGTTCATAAGGTTGGTGTCCATCATCTCAAAGTCAGATAGGAGGTCTGAACATTAGAAGAAAATTCTTGACGTGTGCATGCTCTACATGTATTTTGATCTGGTCTTGAAGGTTGATCAACTACTGATGGTTGATCCTCTTGTGTACCTTACAAGAGTTATGGATTACTATGGTGTCTCTAGATCATAGTTAAGGGGGAAATATATGCGACTGAAATTGATGTCAAAATTTATGTTGGAACATCATCTCAAGGACTTGCTTCTTCAGCCAAGGAAGCTTGAGGGAGTATAAGGTTAAACCACTGACCTAATCTAGAGTGATATGTGGTATGGATGGATGTCATGGTGGTTTGTCATAAAGAAGGATCAGCTGGTGCCACAGGTCTGCAGAAGAAGAATGGCAGACCAAATATCCTACCTTGTGTGAGAAGGTAACCTTATTCGACTATGGTAAATACTCTGACGAGAGTTGAGTATTTGTCTATCCTCTGGGGATACTATACATATTGATGACATAATACATTGATGGGAGCTATGTATATGTCTAATGTGTTATACAGGACTGCAGTATGAACATTATGATTCAGAAAATGTTAAGAATTGAATTTTCTCTATGTGGTTGTGTTATGTAGCTTGAGCTTGGAAGATGCTAACTACTGAGAGTTTATTTCTCTCTGTAGCATTCAGGTTGTTGTGATAACCTGAATGAGCTGCACAAGGTGTGATCGTTTGAAATCTTCTTGTGTTTGTTGGGAGCTTCTTGAAGGACCCATCTACATAAATAGTCCTTTGGATGGTGATTTAAGAACCAAGGTGATTGGGTTCTATGATGAGAAGATGATGTCCCAAATTATGCTGGAACATCATTTTTTGGGTTTATTTGAAAGATGCTTCAGGTTATGGATGTGGAGGTTATTGCTCAAGTTTATTGTGAGTAGAGGCATCTCTGGATATGTGGATTGGAATGTGCAGATTTTGATCTTGTTTGTAGTAGTATGCTTGGTGAATTCATTACTATTGTGTTGAAGACTTCACTAGTATCAATAATTTCTAGTGAATGAAAGGGCATAAGAATGTTATCAAATACTGAGGTCTGAACTGAATGTTTTTAGAGGTATTCTTTTTCTGATCAGAATGATGTTGAGGTGGTGGTTTCTTCTACTGCAAGTAAAATATGGTGGCAATCTTGAACTTGTGTAGCAAGCAAGCTAAGAGAATATGTTCTGGAATATGTGAGAAATTCCAAATCAAGTGTATCTTTTGTGGGTCTATTGTATCCATAGTGTGTGAATAGCTCAAGGTGCTTTGAGTTATTCTCAAAAAGCTGGTGTATTTGGATCTGTAAAAGTTAGGATTGATTTTATAGTTGGTGATTATGTTCAGTAGGTGTATGCATCCAGATGCTTGAAGTGGTTGTCCTCCACAATGAGATTATGAAGTCCTTCGGGTAATTTCATCTGGTGCTCAAGTGTTCGTCCTTAATAGGAGATATAATTATCCATGTCAGAGGGAGTTAGGTCTTGTCTATGGATGGTTGTTGTAGTGAGGGAGAAGTTTTTATGAGGTTGTGATGTCAAACAACATGGTGTGACATTGGGCTGCTGAATATTATTATGGTTTATGCTCATTAATGGTGCCTGGTTGGTTCTATATTTGTGAAGCTAGTTGTTTGAATCATGATCACACATGCTTCTTAGGAGGAGTCTGAAGGGCAGTTTTGTTTATATCAGGGAGAATTTATTTTTCTCTGCAAATTATGGAAAGACTCTATGAAGTTGAGTTTGATAGGAGATGTCTAATATGTGATGTTTTTGGGTCTTGATATGTGCTGGCCAAAAGAAGAGCATGTAGAATCCAATGGAAGGCACTGTGTTTATGCTTCAGAACATATGGAGAATTATGTGAAGCATTTTTGGAGAAGTTTTGGTCAAGTTACTTTGTGTGCCTGGAGGAGCAAGTAGACAATGTCCGACATGATGTCAGGACATTTATCATGACATGTTTTTTTCCTTGAGCCAAACAAGGAAATATTTTGGACGGTGCAATCTCTACGCTCCAGGAGGGAGTGTAAAGTGTGCTTGTTGACTATGCATGTGCCTTTATTAGAAATAACTTTTTTAGAAGAATCAGTAAAAAATCAATGAAGGTAATCAAAAGCAGTTTTGGAAGATGCATCTGTGTTTGGTTTGTTTTCTCCTCGAATAACATTTCCTTTTGACCAAGACCATTGCTACAGTCATAGATTGTTATTTACCAAGTAAATTCTCAACTATTTATAGAGGTTATTTCTTCCCCTCTTTCACCTTGTGAGTATCTGGTAGTTTCATCACTATTATAGGTTTTGTTCGGGTCTGGGTCAGCTGTGCCTGGGTCTGGTTCTGTGAAGGCTTCCTTTGTCAATTTTTGGCGAAAAGGGGGAGAAAAGGTTTGTTGCTCAGATGATCAGTAGTCTGAACTATGCATTTCTAGATGTTGTACACAAATGTTTGTTCTATCTTCTGGCACATGCTTTGGTTTTGTGACTTGTGATATGAGTTATGAACACAGTTGTGACCTGTGTTCTGAGTTACCAGGGGTGGTGGTTAATTTGTCTAGGTCAATTGGTGGTTGTTGATCAAAAAGTGATTGAGAAATTTCTTATGCCACCATTGGTCTTTTGTGACAAGGGATGGTTCCTGGTTTGAGGGGGAGTCTCTGCTATCTTCTTCCTCATGTACACTGTAATATGGTGGGAGAACTGACTTGGGTGTTTTACGTTTTATTGCAATTGTTGCGGATAGTAAGAGTCACCATCGACTTTTATTTTATCCAATAAAGGAAAGGGTGAAAAGAATAGGAAAGACCTTTTGAGATATTTTCTTGAGTTCGGGGGGTAGGTTATGAAAAGGGAAGGTGTTAGCACCCTTTTCATTCGTAGTTATCTACGGGCCCTTAGTTGCTTGATCACTTTGAAATGTGTTTGTGTTTGTGATTCGTAGTTCTCTTCCGCCTTTAAATGTTGCTATCTTACCATTGATTGGTAAGAAGCCCCATTATCGGATGTGAAGGGACAAGCGTGGGTCAATCGTACAGTCATAGAAGGAAACTTGTGAGACGCTTTAGCAAGTTCCGTAAGGGACTAGATTATTTACCGAAGGCAACATTGAGGGACATCGAGGGACTACGATCTTTTTTATCGAAGGGTCTTTTGCTAAAGCGTCCCACATTCGAGGGACATGACTATTTTTCCGAGGCAACAAGCGAGGTTACCCTAGAGGTGCGCGTGTGCAAAGTGTGTTTGATTCAAGTTAATTTTGTCTTTGATTAGGGTTGTCTAGAGATTGATTTTAAATCTTATCATACACGCCTAATTACTATACAGTATAAAAGAAAACAGTAAATTGCGGAAATTAAAGTTCTACGCTATTACAAACTTCGGGAATGAGGGGTACAAATTTATGAATGGGGATGGATCGAATTGACAATATGATTAAAAGACCAAATAAACAATCAATACAATCCAATAAAAAATAAAAAATAAAAAATAAATTAAACTAAAACAATTTATAAAATAAAATTAATTAGAAAAATAATTAATACTACTAAAAATAATATTTTTGGTATTTTATTAATTTAAATAAAAATCTAAAAATAAAACTAAATTCTAATATGTTTTTATTTTTATTTTTTATATAAATAAAATTAAAATAAAACCGCATATTTTATTATTTTTCTAAATATTAAGAAAATATTAAAGGGCCAAAAGAAAATTATTACCTAAATTCTAAAATTACTTTTGGTATTTTATGAATTAAAAGGTAAAGGAAAGAAATAAACAATTCTAAATAGTTAAAAATTAATTATGTTTTTTTATTTCTTACAATTAATATGGGATAGTGTTATAGCCAAGTAATGAGTTAAAAAAAACAAAGTCAGTTGGGCTGACTTGGGTGTAAAAACCAAACGAGATGAAAGGCCCAAAAAACAAGTAAACAAAATGCAGGAAAAAAGAAAAAAGAAAGCAAGTCAGAGGAGGACCGGGTCAAACTCGGATCCAGAGCCCATCTTCTAAAAGTAATGGTTTAAAGAAAACCCTAAAAAAACACGTTGAATGACCATCATTTGTTCCAGCATAAAACAACTCTTCTTTTTCTCAGTTTTCCATTTTTCTCACGCTCTGTTAAACGAAAATATACGTTTCATCTCTCTCTCTCTCTCTCTCTCTCAAACACCCACGATGCTCTTCACGGAATAACAACGACAACAACAAATCCAGTCATGATTTATAGTGGTTCTTCTTCTATCTCATGGTAAAGCTCCATATCTAAGCTCACAGTTAATGCAAAGATTCTATCGCCGACGAGGAGTTTAGACACCCAGGTACGCTTTGATTCTTGGCTCAATCTTCCCTTTGTATATTCTTCTGGAGTTCTGTGTTTCTATTGCTCTTATGAAAACTTTGCATGCTCTGTGTCACGGTTGAATCTTGTATTCAATTGTAAAATTTTGTTGAGTTGTGTGTTGAGACAGTTTGGTTGGGGTGAGGTTAAGTTGCAGACAGTAGCAGTAAAAGAGATGAAGAGGGTTATTTTTAATGTTGCAGGTATGGGAAAAAATTATACAGAAGGTTTGATGAGTCTAAGGTTCTGGTGGAGATGGTGAGTAAGGTTAAGTGGAGGTGAAGCTACATAATTTGGTTGAGGGTTAAGGATATGCAGTCTGTTTACAGATATTTGGGGGGAATGTTTATTGGTGTTTTTCGTGAGATATTTTTCAGTCCCCATTTCGTTCTTCCCTTTGCTGTATTTATGAATGAATAAGATGAGATTTCAAGGGGGAGAACTAATGACATTTGAACAGTTTTGACATGCTATTTTTGTGCTTTATTGATGTAGTTTCAATTTTGCTAAATTTGTGCAAATATTAGACTGATGTGGTGCAGGTTTGGACATGTTTTGGGGCAGCAAGGCAGGGCTTTTGGACTGTATAGGAGGCTATTTTTGTTGCAGCATAGCAGTATGGACAATGTCACAGTTTTTTTGGACTATTTTACAATGGGTTGATGCAGTTTATGGATAATAATAGATAGGGACAACAGTAAGGCTTTTTTGTGCAATTGTTGAACTTATTTTTGATAGTTTTTTTCTCTGTTTGTTTGTAGGCTACCGTTGCAGGTTTGACAGTTTGTGGGGTTGGTTTTGTAGCAGGCTTTGGACATGTAGTGAAGCAAGACCAACAACATGGTTGTAGCAATGGCTTTGGACATGGGAAAAAGCTTAGACTCATGTAGCTTTAGGAGTTAGAAACCTTAATGTTTGATTTTATTTTTATTCCAAAGTTTCAAATGATGTAATTGGTTTGTAATGATGTAATGAAATTTGGACAAAGTTTGAATCAACCTTCATATTTTGTAATTATTCTTCCAATTTGTACTTTGAACAAACAATCCATAATGATACTAAAAGTATGCGAAGTCTCTTAATTAAAATTCGAATTTGAATTCTCCAACATCTCTTGATTGAGTTCCACAATACCTTGTGCCATGAACTTGAAATTGGATCGGAACTATTGGAAAACACTTTCCAAATCACTCCTTGAATTTCTGATTTCTTTTTGGAGTTCTTGAGTGAACTAGTTGAGAATTGAATGAAACTTTCCACTTGAACTTGAAATTAATCTCATGCTTTGCATGATGTTTGATGACCTTGAAATATCATGCCTTGAAAATAGTCTTGGATAATGGAATATGATGAATGATTTGAATCTTGAATGAGCCTTTTTTGATAACTTTCATCTAGTTAACACTCAAATTCACATGACGAAAACTAAGTATTCTAAATGAATCCTTCTTTCAAAATAATCTTGAATTCAATCACGCCACTCAAACAAAATTCAACTCGCATCATGTAAGTACAAGAAATTGAACTAAACCTAAAAGGATTTGAATGGTCACTAGAAAAAATATTCGAGGCTAAAGGTTATCGCTTTGAGAAGTTGGCACCATGAATTTTATTAGAAGTTAAAAAACTTCTAAGTCAAGAGAAATGACCTATAACGTTTCACTAAATTTCAAGGCCTTCTAAACACAATTTTACTTCAGTTCTTAAAGTAAAGTTGTAGATGACATTCCTTATGACATTGTGCAACAATAATCGTCTTAAGATCTTGAAAATTAAGGAAATTATGATTCTTGGAAGTCAGGAAACAGTTACTTGAGATTAGGTCACACTCTAGAAAGTGACTTCTAAAGTATTCAAATTTTTGATACTTTTTCGTACATAATCGGCTCTTGAATTGTAAAGAGAAGTTAGAGATGACGTCAAGGAGAGTTATACGCAAAAAGAACCGCTCAAAAATATTGAATAATGAAGAGGTTACAATTGTTTGAAATTTATCTTGAAAAGGTCGACTCTTGCAGTTGATTTTTAGTCATCTGAACCATTGACTGAGCAAACTTGCGATGCGAGGCTTGAAACTTGGCACAAACATCCTTGAGAATACATGAAGATCTATGAAGACCATTTGAAACCTTGAAGACTCAATTTTCTTTGAGAAATACCAAACCCTAGTTGCTGACTCAATGCCTAGGAAGAGAATCTGTTTGATCAAACCCTGAGCCATTTTGAGTATTTGAGAAACCCTAGGATAGCATCTTGAATGAAAAATGGGAGGGAAAATTTGGGGTACGATAACTGCCCCTGTTCAATCTTCTTAAACTTGAAGAGTTAGATTGGCATGTTTGTCATTCGTGACTCGAATGTGGAAGATGATTGAACACTAGAGTGCCCAAAAATTTGCACTCGCTTGCGCAAGAAGTAACACTTTGGATTTATTGTATCGGGAATGGGCTTATAGATGCCATTTAGAGAGTGACGGAATATTATCAGAGATGGGCTTATAGACGCCATCTAGAAGTGGTTGAGAATCGTCGGAGGTGGGCTTATAAATGTCATCTAGAAGTGATGAAGAGTTGTTGGAGATGGGCTTACCGATTCCATCCAGAGTGACTGATGGTAGATATTGGAAGAAGTATTAGAATAAATATTTGGTCGATTTATACTGAAACACAAATTTCTTTCGCCTGTCTTTAATCTGGAAGAGTTAAATCTAACCAGAAGAGGTCTTGGTTTGATGACTTCGTGGGGGAAACAATTCTAACCAGAAGAGGCCTGTTGGTTACCTATTGGAGGAAGTGAATATAGTCATATGAGGTCTGTTGATTTGCCTATTATTAACTGGAAGATGTGCATCTATCCAGAAGAGGACTGTTGTTTTGTTGATTGATTCTTCCTTCAAGAAGAGGGTTAATCACACGCGAATGTATGCATGGCATAATGATGTTCTCGAAATAAATGAGAATGTGTTGTATGCATTTGTCATGTATGTAATATGATGTATGAATGTGAAATATTGTTGAAGGGTATCTTTGTCTGGGAAAATAAATCCTTGAAAAATGCTGGGGAGCTTTGGGAAGTTGAATCACTGATTGCTGTTGAAGAGTATGTGTATCTTCAAGCTTTGTTTAGAATTTTTCTTGCTGGGGATTCCTGTCTTGCTGTTTGAGGAGAACTCCACTGGAGAACATTGAATTTGCTTGAGAAGACTCTATGGAGAGTGTTGATTCCTGCTTGGGGGAAATATTTCAGGAGATTTAGTTGTCCATTGCTCTACTGGGGATTTGAAAGTTAGCTGTTATCTGGTCGAAATCTAGGCTTGGCAGCAACTTGCTTGGGATAATAAAGCTAACTATTATCTGGTCGGAATCCAGGCTTTGAAGTAACTCACTGGGGATAGTGGCGAACTATACTGGGGAAGAGGAGTTTTGTTAGTGATTTGGAGAAGTTAAACTATTATCTGGTCGGGTCCAAGTTTCATAGTAACTTGAACGGTTATCTGGTCGGGATCTAGGTTTCAGCAATTTGATCTTGAAGTTAAATGGTATCTAGTCGGGTCCAGGTTTCAGCAACTCGAACTGTTATCTGGTCGGGTCCAGGTTTCACCAATTTGAAGAAGTTAAACTGTTATCTGGTCGGGTCCAGGCTTTAGTAACTTAAAATTGTGATTTATTGTTATCTGGTCGGGTCCAGGCTTCGTAGTAACTTACTTGAAAGAGATGAAGTTGAACTAGTATCTGGTCGGGTCCAGGCTTCGTAGTAACTTGCTTGAAAGAGATGAAGTTGAAATAGTATCTGGTCGGGTTCAGGCTTCATAGTAACTTGCTTTGAAGAGAAAGGAGTCAACTGCTATCTGGTCGGATTCCAGGCTCCACAACAACTTCAGGGATAGTAACAATTCCTTTGGGGATTGAAATGGCTTTACCGGGGGTTAAGGGGTTTCGTCCATTGATTTGCAATAGTTTGAGAAGTAAACTCAAGCTGGAGTATTTGTAGCTTTGTTGGGGAAATAAACCCTGTTGAAGAGAATATTTGACGATCTACAGAAGAGGTAAATTATTTAGACAGAAACTCCACAAGGCTTCCAACTCAGCTTGGGAGAGGGTTTTCCGGAGATTGAAACTCTGACTGGGGATTGCATGAATCTGTCTTTGTGGGGATAATTTTATTGAAGTAACTTTGTGGGGATATCCTAAGTTTTTAAGTAAATACTTATTACTGTTTTTACGCGCACTTTTGTTAACAGTTAATCAGGTTCATATGTATATGTTCATTCAATTTTAGCCATTGGACACTTTTTCACTTAAAACAGAAAAAAATAAAAAGTTTTGCACTTCAAAATGTATTTGTATTGATACTTTGCCAAAAAATATGTGTTTTTGTACAAGGAGACATAAATCCTAGTAAGAGGAAATTGTCGAAAGAATGAAAATAATACAAAGCAAAAACAAAAATAAATAGCCATGTGGAAATGATCTCATTGTGTTCCAACTCCGCTATTGCCCCTATGCCTTCGAACATTATCCCATGTCGTTGAAAGAAGTTGGTTGGATTGATCTTGTACCATTAAAGTTGGACCTTGGTAATAAATCGGTTGTAGAAGTTCCATGGGACGTAGTCATACGCCTTAATCCCTAACTTTTTCCAAGACCCCTCTTTCAGGTTTTTAGTCTACCAGGATAAGCTACCCTTTCGGGTTTTCGACTTGCCAGGTGTACAATCTTTTTGCATATATCCCTAATTTTTTCCCGAACCTCTTTGGCTCACCGGGATGCCCTTATTTTTTCCTAGGTGTGTCAACCTAGCGGGTCGTTTTTATGTGTAGTATTTTTTAACTATGTCTGCATTCACAGGATGCAGGAAATCTTTGCCGTCCATAGTAGTTAGCATCATGGAACTGCCAGAGAGTAATTTATTAACAACAAAAGGCCCTTCGTATGTGGGAGTCCATTTTCCCCTGGGATCGCCTTGTGGGAGAATGATGCGCTTTATTACCAAGTCGCCAGTCTGATACACTTGAGGCTTGATGTTTTTGTTGAAAGCCTTGACCATACGCTTTTGATACATTTGTCTATGACAAACAACAACCAGTCTCTTCTTGTCGATCAAATCCAACTGATCCAACCTAGTCTGAATCCATTCATCTTCACCTAAGTCTGCTTCTTTCATAGTTCTTAAGGAAGGAATATGGACTTCCACGGGCAGGACAACTTCCATGCCATAGACTAAAGAGAAGGGAGTTGCCCTAGTTGATGTTTGAGCCGAGGTACGGTAGCATCTCATGCCAGTATTTGTAGGTTACTACCATCTTTTGCACAATCTTCTTTATATTTTTATTGGCAACTTCCACTGTGCCATTCATCTTAGGTATGTATGGAGAAGAATTGTGATGCTTGATTTTGAACTGCGTGCAGAGTTCCTTAATCATAGCATTGTTGAGATTGGTTCCATTGTCAATTATAATCCTTTCAGGGATACCGTACCAGCAGATGAGGTTATGCTTGATAAATTGGGCTACAACGTTCTTTGTGACTGGGGAAAATGAGGAAGCTTCGACCCATTTGGTGAAGTAATCAATAGCAACAAGGATGAAATAGTGTCCATTGGAAGCATAGGTTTGATCTCTCCAATCATGTCAGTGCCCCACATTGCAAAAGGCCACAAAGCAGTCATGACATTCAAAGGAATTGGAGGTACGTGAACCTTGTCGGCATAGATTTGACACTTATGATAAGTCCTCAAGTGATGGTGACAATCAATTTCCATAGTCGACCAGTAGTACCCAGTCCTCATAATCTTCTTGACCATAGTGTGTCCACTAAAGTGAGTCCCAAAGATACCATCATGCATATCTTCCATGATATCCTCTGCCTCCTTCTTGTCCATACACCGGAGT